ACCTTCCGCCGGCGATAAGACTTACTGAAGTCTGGCGCAGACGAGCGGCGCCTAGCGGGCGGCGATTTCCGAGGTCGGTCCTACGAACGTCAGCTCTCGGGGGTGTTTTGACGCGAATAAAACGCTTCGCGGCTCGCCGCGATCCGCATTGCCAAGGTCAGTCTAATCCTGAGCCCCGTAGGTGAGAGTATAACCACCGACGTCGCGACGGATGCGAGATACGCCGGCCGTTAATAACACCGCGAGCATCCACGATAGAGCACGTCTAACACACACAGTTCTCGGAAGCAAAGTACTCAGACAATCTTGAAGAGCAGCGGGACGAGCTTGGCAACGTGCGCCGATAAGAATAACCGGCATTCTGTGGTAGGAGAGTCTAATTCACAGAAAACTTCATTAACCGGCTCCCCGAGCGTGAAATTGTCAGCTAAATCCGTCGCTGATTAATCAGTTGAGGTCTAAGCATCATTTACTCTCCGGAGTCGACCCTAAGTGTAATAAAAACACACGCCGTCGCGGTGATTACGGTTTTATCTTTTTATGACGAGCAAGTGGGAGAAGGATCGACGGACAGGTTGTGTTTGTGCGGGTAACACAACGTGCTCGACGGATGCCCGACAAATTCAGCGAGATGACACGCAGAACAGAACAATTTTCGATGAAAGTAGTGGCCGTCGTTGTACGGCAGTTGAAAGTGGAAAGTGTTGGAATGCGCGACGCGACGCGACGATTGTCAAGGTTCGCAGCGATGTTCCAAGGCGCGTAGCGGTGCCATTCGGTTCTGCGCGTCCCGCGAAAGTTAATCTCGAGTTCGGCAGTGCGGAACGGGCAATCACGGTCGATCTGCCGCGTATCCCGCGTATTACGTGGATCACAGCTAAACCTGACACGCTATCACGTCGATCGGCTCTGGCCGATGTACGAGTATAAAAGCGATCGCGACTCCCAATCCTCGCTACGCGTCCGCGGGCGACGTAATTAAACGAGACCGAGCTGCGACTTCGATCTCGGTAAAATTAGTTTTGCGGTGAACACGAAGAGCGCAGACACAATACTAATACGGACACAAGTGTTCGGAAATAGCTCCTCACCTACGTCCGCGACTTTCAATAAATGGTAAATTATATATTATTATAATAATAATATAATTTATTATTATTATATTTATATTATTATTATAATATTAATAATCTTTATCTGTGAGAATATATCTTTTAGTATACACACGACGTCACAAATGGACAGACAAAATAATGAAAACAAAAAGAGATATATATACTATATATTAGGTGGTAAACTTAGTTCCTGCGGTTTTCTTGTTTAAAAAACTCATTTATTTCGACATCAAAAGCAAAAAATACATTAGTCAAAGTATTTTCCCTCGCTAGCTATACATTTTTCCCATCTTTCGGGCAACGCGTAGATTCCGTGACGATAGAACGATTGGTCTCTTGATGCAATCCATTCGTCGATCCATTTTCGCACATCCTCGTAATTTCTAAAGTGTATATCCACCAAGCCGTGCTGCATCGACCGGAACAAGTAATAGTCCGAGGGAGCTAGGTCTGGTGAATACGCTGGGTGCGGAAGAACTTCCCACTTGAGCTGCATCAGTGTTTCTTTGACGGCTTTGGCAACGTATGGTCGAGCGTTGTCGTGCAAAAGCATGACTTTACGTCGATTGCTGGCTACTGCTGGCCTTTTTTCCAACAATGCTGCATTCAGACGGTTTAATTGTGATTGATATCGATCCCTCGTGATACTTTCGTTCGGTCTGAGTAGCTCATAATAAACGACGCCGTGCATATCCCACCAAATGCAAAGCATTGCTTTGTGGCCATGAATATTTCTCTTTGGTGTGGATGTCGATGGTTGGCCAGGGTCTACCCATGATTTTCTTCGTTTAGGATTATCGAAGTATATCCATTTTTCATCGCCAGTCACTATGCGCCACAAAAAACTCTTCTTTTTCTGCCTGGCGAGCAGAGAAATAGAGATGTTTAAGCGATTCGCAATGGCATTTGCGGTTAATTCGTGTGGTACCCATTTTCCCTCCTTTTGAATTTTTCCCATTGCATGTAGACGTTTGGAAACAGCCATCGGAGTAACATTTAATGCTGCAGACAATTCTTGGAGCGTTTGAGTAGAGTTTTCGTCCAATAATGCCTGCAAATCGGTGTCTTCAAACTTTTTCGGTTGGCCTGAGCGTTCTTTATCATTGACATCAAAATCACCACTCTTAAATCGCTGAAACCATACTTGGCATGTTCTTTCCGATGGAGCATAATTGCCATAAGCTTCGAAAAGCAATTTATGAGCTGCAGCTGCAGTTTTTTTCAAGTCAAAGTAATGAAGCAGCACATGTCGAAAAAACAACTTATCACGTTCCATATTTAATCAAAAGAAAAAATAGCACTGCTCGCTTAAATGAATCTCTTCGCACTGAATTTTATTGACAAATGTCTAACCTCTAAAATGCAGCCAGTTTCAGATGTCAAAATAAATTACACCTACAACTAACGTCATCTAACTGTGAGCCGCAGGAACTAAGTTTACCACCTAATAGAATAAATATAGAAAATAATATAGAAATGATAATATAAATGAAATAATGACAAATGACAAGTAGCGCTATATAATTTCGTATTTCGGGGCGATCCTCGGAAGTATGTTTACTGTCAAAACAAATTATTGGGGGAAGCTGAAGATACATCATCACACCCCCGCAATTTACACCGCCGATCTCACCCGAGTGAGAAGGCCAATCGCGTTGAATAACGAAGATTCCCTGCAATCGTCGCGATAGTAACGCGATGATAATAATAAGTCAGTGGCGAGATCGCGAGCATCTCGCGCTCGAATCACGATCGAGACCGTATGATTTCGCGCCCTTACTCTCGGGAAGAAGGCACGGTTAGATATCTATTGGCTATCTATTGGTCAGAATTGGCGAGAAATACGCAAGGGTTCCCCGGGGTACAGTTACGGGCCAGGTCTTTCGCGCATCGCCACTGTGGGTATATCGCGTGGCTTCTCCAGGTGCCCATGCAAATGGAGCCGCACCAAGGTGGAAGGAAGGCATCGATAGACGAGCTCACGTGTGCGACCGCGAAGTCAAGTCTGCCGGCGATCTTAATCTCCGTCGGCAAGGCCGATGCGCGAGAGAGAGCTCGCCGGTAACTGACTTTACGACTTTCGACTGCATCGAGCAACAGTACCGCGTCGTCGCGCACCGCGGGTTCTCAGAAGCCCAATTGCATCCGCCTGTTCGTTTCAACGTGTAGCCGCTGATCTGTCGCGATATCTGGATGTATTGATGCAACGATACTCGACTCAACGAATCGCATCCTCCCTCTCCATCTTGACATAAAAGATCCTCAATAAGATAGAGAGGCAGGGAGATGAATCGAAGCGTATTTTAGTCATTGGACGTCAACGGCAGAATCAAGATATCATAGCACTGAGCTAGAACGTCTGGCTGCTGTGTATGTGGCAAACAGTTTTCATGTTTGTTTGCTTGGGCACCGAGTTTAAAATAATTATTGATTACGCGATAACTTTCGTCTCACTCTCAGGCAAACAGAGCGTCAATCCACGAATAACTCGATGGGCTGTGCTCCCGTGACTATACAGTTGTGAGATATTGCATAGATCTGACAAACGCATGACTAGATGCGCGCATTTAATCGATGCAACAGCGATCTTGCATCATTAGAAGATTATACACGGAAAAAAGTACTGTTGAATCAATAGAATTGGTCAACAGCGCGCGCCGTTGTTGGAATAAATTTTCATGATTCAATAGTGTAAGCGTTGACGGGCGAGCCGTTAGAAATCACAAAGAGATACACAGTCGAATAGTCGCGAACAAATTAGGGAAAATAAATATATAAACAACGACTCCAACTATTGATTGGAGAGACGTCGAACGACGGACGGCTAACCTATTTGTTTACATGTGTGATGTTAACTGCCTGGATATAACGAGTTAAAAGACGCGGACAATGAAAAAAACGCCAAGGAATCCGAGCGATCACAGCATAAGAGCCGAAATAGAAAAATTCGGGCTTGCGTTTGCCTCGTTTTGAGATTTTTTGAAAGCGCGTAACGGTTTGTAATTATCAAGGAAACTCTTTAGAAACCAAATACAGATTCTGCGTATTAAGTGGCCAGACTTTATTTCACTCGTTTCCTTTGGCTTGCGTCTTTTTGTTTTTGTGGCTTAAAATAGCAATATTATTAAAATTAATACTCGAATAGTTAAATTGTATGATATATTTGTTTCAATGCGAAGACTTATTACCAATTATACAACTACTGATTTTGTTGATTCAACAGCAGTTTTTTTCTCCCTGTATCTTTAAATAAAAAAATAAATTAAATAGAATTAGAATCTTGAAATTTGGAAAATTTGCGACAAACTCGAGAAAAATAAGAGCAAATTATGTAACTTGTAGGTGCTTTTGTTTTTTTATCAAAAATCAATGAATACAAATTACTGTGTCGAAAATAATGGAAAGTAACGTTATACATGTATTATGACAACCTTGGTTATGTAGGTTTGAGCAGAGTCATGCAAATATTTCGAATATTTAACCAGTCCTTTCCTAGCTAACCTCCTACAAATGATACAATTTACCGTATCGCTTCGATTAATGCGATTTCTCAATCGTCGTCGAGTGAGCGAAAGAGCAAAAGGGAAAGAGAGAGATCGCCAGCGGTTTCATATGATCGTTGCAGTTTGCCACATGTTGTTATCGTGATTGCGAACACCTACGCACGTGTCGCAAGTATCGAAGAATGTCGCGGGATTCGCAGTTTTACGCGTTTTGGAAAACAAATGAGGGAAGAGAGAGAAAGAGAGAGAAAGGGAGGGAGGGAGGGAGGGAGGGAGGAAGAAAGAGAAAGAGAAAGGGAGAGAACACGATTGAGGAAAACGATCATGTCGATAGTAACGAAGCGAGAAAGGACTCTTCAATTGCATATCAATCGTTACTCACGGTATCGGTAACGTCCGCCTGCATGTCTGAGTCTTCCTCCTCATCTGTGACAAGATCGTCCTCCTTCTCGTTATCCGGCCCGTACAGGTACCCGTCGTTATCCAGATCGCCCCTCTTGCTCTTAGTACGCGTACTGTGTGTCGTTCCGTCGATCTTGACTGCGGTCCTCCTTTCCTGCTGCCAGTCGTTGCGCTTGGCCGCCACGGCGAGCGCGTTCTTCGGGGACTTAGGCTCGTCTGAGACAGCGGATTTGACGCTCGAGCTCACCGCGATGCCGGCGTGCGGTCTGTTGATGATCGGTTTGTTGGCGAACGTGAAGGGGCCCAGCACCCTGGACACGTTTCTCGGCTCGTGCTTGAAGTGTAGCCTGTAGCCTTCGCGTTTCGCGTGTCTGTCTTCGATGTTTCGGTAATCCCTCTTGACGGTGGTCCTCGCCGTGGTCGGATCGTCGGACGTAAGTCTCCTGATGATGTCGTCGTAAGTTAAGGCTGACTTCGACTTGCTCTTGTAGAAGTCGTTGTCCAATTCCTCCACCTCGTCGTCGTCGTCTTCGTCGTCTTCGTCCTTGTCGTCGAGGATTTTCCAAATGTCATCCTCCTCCTCCTCTTCGTCTTTGTCGCTCTCCTCGAGTCCGCCGTGGTCCTTGTAGTCTTCGTCCTCTGCCGACTTACTTTCGTCTTCGAACGAATGGAATTTGTGTTCCGACGAGTTCGATTTTGTCTTCCAATACTCTGTATTCCATCTGGACTCCTTGTCACGATCGACGGTGCGATCCTTCAAGTAGTGCCTCCACGCGTCGAGACGCCCGGACATCTTGCTTCTCCAGTCCTTCTTCGGAGAAGAGTGTCGTCTGGCGTTTTTTCGCCATTCGGAATGAAGCAGCCTATCGGCTACTCTGTTCTTTACGTATCTATGCAACCTCCTGTAATCGAAATCCTCCCTCGTGTCGTCGTCATAATCCGACGTGTCGTGATTGCGCGAATAAGCACGCCCGTGATGGTTCCTATTGGGTGGGTGTCGGCGATTCTTCGCTTTGTGTCGCGACAGAGTCTTGCGCCTGTCGCTGTCCTCATCGTACCAATCACTCCCGTGATAGCCTCCGCCGTAGTACCTGCCTGGATAACGTGGCTCGAACATCCAACCATGATAACTTCTCTGTTGCTGGTACGATTTAAGGTAATCGTAGTGCGATGGTGTCTCATAATCATCCTCATCCGTCGAATCTTTCTCAGCGTCTCCATCGTACTCGTAATCGACCTCCTGCCAGGATCTCCTGTCGAGGTCATGATGACTCCTCCGATTCGAGGACTCGTGCCTGTGCCTATGCCGATGTCTCGCCTCCGTCGTCGCGTCCTTATGCTGATGGCACTCGACCACGAAAAGGCCGTAAGCCATCAGCAGGCCCAGCAGTAGCAGTAGCCTCCTGTCGCGCGTCATCTCGTCACCGCAACTCCGTGCTCAGACACCTTACATCATCTTGGGCCACGTGACTGCGGCTTTCGCGCGCTCGCACCTGTTCGGCTCTCGATGCCTCGCGGATGACGATTCCTTTAGCGGCACATCGAGTCGGCCGGTAGCAGAACTCGCGACGATCGACTCCACGCCGATCATTCCACGATCGAGGCGGGGGACGCGCCGTGTCCCTCCGGCGGCGAACCTGACGGCGAACTCCTCGTTCGCTGGATCAATGAGCGGGCGACTCGATTCGGCAACCGTCAATCTCGCGCGCGCGAGCTCGTTCCTCTAAATTTACCCGCGGCGAAGTCGCGGTCAGGCCGTGACGACCACGTGGTGACCACCGCGGAACCTGAAACGCAGCAACCGTCCGCGACTCTTTTTGGCGCGGCTCCAGTATATTCGGCGACGTGGGAGCGCGCCGCGACTCACCTCGTCACTAATCGCTGAACCACCTGAACGTCACCGAAGGTGAAGGGACTACTCGGGATATTACCGTCGCGTTATCGATCCGTCCCGTCGCGCTACTCTGCACTCCGAAAATTGCCGCTGCTCTCAAGTGGAGGTCCACCCTCTGCCTTTGGTGACAGCTTCGTCACCGGCGTTACGCTGAATCGGCTCGTTCTCTGCGACGGTTCGATGACTTCTTTCGTAGCGAACGGTGACCGGTCGTCATGAGATCGATCGTATTTCGCAAGATGATATTTCAGACAGAGATCCGCGGACTATCCGATCCTGTCACGCGGTCCTGTCGCACGACGAGTGCGACACCTCCGTGCACCACCGGTCCTCCAGGGGGTGGCTCTTGCTCGCGCGATCCACGACGATCGATACGTTCACTGATGACCGGCGCGGGCGACCTAGACAGGGGCACGAGGAGGGCACACGACACGTTCACACCGAATCGTATCGCGGACAGAATGTCGCGGGCGACTGAGGCTAGCCGGAGCAGCCGGCGGCCTAAGAGATCGCGGAACGCATCGCGCATGCGTGCGGGCGATATTCGCCCCCACCGTCCCTCACGTCGCGCCGGATGGAGTTCTCCTCCGCCGCCAGTTGCCTCCTTCGCCCCTTCGTCCTTCGCCTTTACCTCCGCAAGAAACGCGCACGGTGTTTCACGGACCCCGCGATGATGCACCATGAAACAATAGACGCGCGATGGGCCGCATCTCCGCCGGAGATGCTATCCGTACGTGATGGACTCCTCAAAAATCGTCACTTCCGACGGCTTGCTAGGGTTGTTTTTTTTGCGACGGGGTAGGCGAGAGAAGAGTAGCGTTAGGGCTAAGTCAATCTCAGTTAATTTTGCACACGATCAGATTTACCGGTAGTTTTATCTTCTTCTAGAGTACACGAGGTAAAACTCCTGTTTAGGGGACCACCTTCAGATAACCTTGTCTGTTACATATATTATCAAGAACACTCTCCTGAATAATATTCAAGAAGTTTTAATTGTCGCTCATTATTTATTAAAAAGTTATTAACAAAAAAGTCAATCAAATAAAATTTTTACATATAATATACATTGAAATATGGTAAACAGGTCATGCGCGGGGGAGAGACTCCGTCCCTCTTCTCGCACCCCCTCCCCGAAAAACTAACCCTAATCTAAAAACCTAATCTAAAAACAACTTTGGAATACAAATAGAGGTACTTCAATAGATTTCAATAGATAGGTTAGGTTAGAGATAGGTTAATTTTTTTGGGGAGGGGGTGCGGGGGCCAGTCTTTAAGCGACCGCCATATAGCCACGATGAAGAATTATCTTCTTCTTATAAAACAATTTCTTTGCAATTAATCTTTTATTTATGTTAATACTGTACTCAGATCAGTCATACTTTACATACTTATATAGAATAAACGATATCGTATAAGGCAACATATTTATTTCTTGAAACACAATTTAAGAAATGACAAAAAACTGAGTTCTCTATTTCAATGAGTTATCTATTTACATCTCGGCGCAGAAGCGACTCTTATTAGCGCACCGAATTTCCATTTCCATATTAATATCCTGTCTCGAAAAATTGCGTTACATTCATACAACTTCTTTTGCTAATAACTTTTTAATAAATAATGAGCGACGGCTAAAACCTCTTGAATGTTATTCAGGAGAGTGAGTTCTATAATATATACCAAGATAAAGACCATCTAAGAGAGGCTCCCTAAACAGGAGTTTTACCGTCAAATCTTATTTTTGGACTGTGAGTGAGCGGAACATGTGATGTTTACATAATTACTTCGTTTATCGTGACTCATACTTAACGAGTTGGTAAAATATGGTAGCCAAGAAGGGAAATGATGTTCGGCATCATCATACGCCGCCAAGGCGAGGTTGGGGAACTGTGTGAGCACAGGTGTGGTCACGCGTCACAGTACATACGAGCGCGCGCGTATAAATGGCGTAAGCCGGGTGTATTTTTTTCCACTCAGGGATCATTGCTCCGCCGGCGATACTTTATGGAGCGTTGATTAGAAAGCTGAAGAAAAATTGGAATTGGAGGTGCAGATCGATCTGGCGAGATTTCGTGGTCCGTTACGCCGCGTCCGTCGAAACCGGTTTTCAATTTATTTCGAATAGACACGACATTATCCGCATTAGACTTTCGTAGGGATTGGCTCTTGCGTCGCGATAAAAGGCATTAAATTGATTTAATATCGCACCAAGTGGTATATGCCAGCACATATGCGCGTTGCTCTTTACCTGTGTGTATCTTAATCGCGACTGGTCTTGAAGCAAATTTAGATAAGAGCGATGTTTATCCTCTCGGGAGTCTCGCTTAACAAAGTTTCGCTCAGCAAATAAAAGCACTGATTCATTATTCGTTAGAGATACGAAATTCCTCGCTGAGATGAATCATGATAACTTCATAGTACGAATACATTGTGTGCATCGACGGTAGTGGCAAATGTGCCAAATGAGAAAGGGAGAATCGTATATAGAGAGAATGTATCTCGAGTCTATAATCATTTTGAGCGAATTCTTGAATTGCGAATTAATTGGAGCCGTTTCTCTTAAAGTGCATCTCTTCAAGTGCTCTCTTAAAGCGTATCTAAAGCGCTGTACTTATAGCTGAAGCATCAATTGCAAGTATAACATTTCAGTGAAAATATATCGATTCAAATGCAAATCATTATTTTCACACGGAGCTTTGAATATTGAAATATGCACATTTCCAAGAGGATACTAATATAAGCATCAAGAAATAGCGATACGTCTCGCACGATATATAGCCACGTTTAGACTTAATGGATGACCGATGTTGAGCGCCCTATCGGGCCACCGTTCATCTTGCGTTTTTTCACGCGAAACTTCTCTTTTTGCACACGACTATCGCACTGTCACCGGTGCTTTTAGCCGAAAGCGATATCATGCGAGCGACGCCAAGAAGAGCGTTCCGATTTTAATCCCTCACGGGCGACTGTTCGCCTCCCCCAATCTTTGCCCGCGCCCACGACATAACATGCGGAACGTACATTTCTGTCACACCCCGCGGCTCGGCGTCTCTCGATTTTACGATCGTCCGGGTCGAACGACAGTCGGCTTGGCCTTTTCGTCCCATTCACTTTCGCGTCGCCATTCAGAGAGGCACGGAGTAGACCACGACGCCGCGAAATCCGACCGAAAAGAGGGTGGAAAGAGGTGGAGGGGAAGTGCAATCGAGACACGGGAAGGAGATAGAGAGAAAGGGAGAGAGAGAGAGAGAATGAGAGATCAAGGTGGAAGCCGAGAGAGAACGCGAGAAAGAGGAAGAAACGATCGTCGATGCCGATCTCGCAACCGGTACAACGAGGACTGGTTTTTCGTTGCGTACGGAGGTCGGTGGGCGCTTTTTGTCGCCCCTTTAAGCTGACCGCGGTGCTTACGATGATAAATAAACACGGTACCACAACATCGCGTCGTGTCCGTACCCGATCTGATTCCTTTCGATCTGATCGATCGACGTGACGTGCGATCTGTCGCGAAGGAACGTCGCCGGCATCCGGATAACCTTACCCGGTACGGCAGGAAGCCGGGCGATATCGAGTGACGCGCTTTCGCCGTTACCCTCGCACTGTTTTCGTACTGTAAGATCCTGTCATGCGTTTTACACAGAAATTATTATATTCTACGTCTACGTGTAGACAACGTAAACTATGCATGAGATGTCATCTTTGTAGACAATGAGTAATTTATGGATGTTGTTTGAAGAGCGTATGGCTTTCTCAAGAATTAATGAAAGTACTTTCCAACAATTCGGAAGGTACTTTCCAACATGTTTGGAAAAACAATTTGGTTGGCCCGCACATCAATCAGATTAGTTCAACTAGATTTGTATGTGTCCAGTCCAAAATAAAGCGATCGCGTAATTTGCTGGAAGCTGATTATGATCCACTTGGACATAATTAGCTTCTAGTAAATTAGCTACTGTTTCATTTTTGACTGGATAGTCCAATCATACTGTTTCTTTTTTATAAAAACATTAATTTTGAGGAAAATTCTACTGAAATCTGTAGTTTACGTTACATATACTAAAGAAATCTTCAGTGAAATTTTCTTCAAAAATGATGTTTTGTAAATACAATCTGTAAGAAGAATTTATATTTTTATTTAATCTCTAGAAATAAACTTATAAATGATGTTTTTTTAAATACAAGTTAGAGAATCCATAAAATTATCCGGTCAAATTGTTATCTACATACAAAAAGTTAAGTCTACCACTTTGTTACATAATACAATGAAAATTTCATGCAATTTATCTCTTTTAAATATATTTCATTTATTATTATTACGCAAAACAGATAGAGCAACTGTCTTATAATTGTATTACTTTTTTGCAAATTATATTTTAATATAATTTGCAATACTTCACATAATTTGTTTACAAAAATGAGTATGTATATCACGTAGATAAATAGATAAAAAATTCGTAGACGTAATCTTGAAATCTACATTGTAGTCTTGATCCTGTGAGACGTATTCTCGCCATTCTATCATCTTGATAAATAAGATCATTAAAGGAAAGAGAGTGATGCGGGTAACTTAGTCGATGGAGTAGTCGCGCGTGCGAACAAATGACCCCAGTTTCGATTTCTGATTCAGCTACCTCGCGTGTGCTCCTGATATATCTTCTCTTAACTTTTTATTACAATACTTGGTTCGCAATTTTTCTACCGACAGACAGAAAAGCATTCGCGAGCTGACACGAACACGTGTGTGCGCGATTGATTAACGATTTGCTTCGCGAGGGGGGCCGGTGAAAGCCAACGGCCGCTCCTCAGAGTTTTCTACCGCGCAGGATATACCGTCGTTACACGGCGCGCCGCGGCGACGAAAATCAGAATGTGCACTTTCCATGCATGGATTATTATCTTACGAAACGGCCGACGCGAGAGGATCAATATTCTTACGTCTCCTCGTGTACTCTCACGTCGTCGCGTGGTCATTAAAATATTTCACGTGCGGGCTTATTTTCCTAAATGTCGAGTGCGACGCGTTGCGCAACGGCCACGACCCGAAGGCGAGAGAATTGATTCCACCAGGTGGAATTTATCCGGTCACAGCTCAGCCGGGCTCGGTTTACGTAGTGCATCGGCGCATCGCCGGGATTTCTCTAATTATTTCGCTTTCACGCTTCGTCGGTGCTCGCGCGCGCGTTAATTTGTATCCATTTGTCAGGATTCGCGCCGCGCGAACAAACACTGGGTGCTCGTTAACGCCGACGTAAAATGACGATTAAATCGCGCCCTCGCGCGACGCGGAATTTGAGCGCCGTGCATGGAACGCGTGTGATCGCGCGCTGCCAGATAAATGAGGTGAGACACCAGGTGAGAGGAACGCCCGGTTAAATAATGGCCGCGGTGTGAATGAGTCCCCGTTTTTAAGATCCTCTCACGCGTGCCATTTGAGACGTGCGCGCGATCAGCGCGTTGCGCAGCCTCGCCGTGGGTGATCGGTTAAATAACCGTTTACGCCTCATCCGTTTAATAATGCTGGCCTTTGCGTCGTTTACTTTGCCGTAAATGCGGCTGTCGCGAGACATCTTCGCGTCGCACACGAGCACTCGGAATGAGTGTGCGTGCGCTTACGACCGTTTCGTTTGGTAATTCCGGCGTAAAACGTCCAGTAGTCGATATACGACCTATTTTCGACTGTTTTGGAAAGGAAATAAATAGATAAATAAGCTAGTAATAAATAAATCCTCATCCACCTTAATATTTGACCAAATTCACGCAACAGTGCCGAAAACAGATTGAATGCACATTAAGAGAAAAATATTTGATATTTAATAATATGATATTTGGAACTATAATGGCATAGTAAAAAGATTATAGTTAGGAATATAATTTTTATAGTAAATGTTACCATAATATTTGTAATATTTACGATATAAGCATAATTTAACTGATCCGTGTAAAATTTTTACCAAGAATTATAATTATTTGAAATAAAAAATATAGTAAGGTAGCAAATATTGAATGGTAAGAGAAATTAACTATCTTATATAGTCAATATAATTGGAATATCTGGCAAATATAAGTACATGTAACTATATTCCCAAAAGGTGCTTTACCATATATATAGAATAATAAGATGATGACTATAAATCTGTGTTCATTCTACTATATCTTTATGTTTAGATGAAATATATGTTTGAGGCCAAAACGAACTATAAAATATAGTGAGGTTATAGTTATTCTAACTATTTTTTTCTCTCAGTACAGGTTACTAAACTTTTATCCCGTAACTTGTACCATAAGGGATGTTTGAGATCAAGAAGGAACGAAAAAGAACAGAGAGAGACGGAACATGTGGTTGCGCGTAGTCTCATCAAGATTTTCGTGAACACGAAACAAGATTAGTCACGCAGATTTAAGCGCGACTTTCGTGCCAAGGGACGGATGCGTGCGCGGCAACGATTTGTTCTACTTACAAAATGTGTGGGCTTGTTCAGAATATGCATGTGAGTACGTAGTTTTCATAAGTCACCAGCTCAAAGATCCGTGACGCTCGCTTGTGCCGACGATATCTCATTCCTCGTGCGGTGCTGTCGTGCGCGTAGATTTTTTCTCCAATAATCGACCGTGAATACTGTCCTTATTTATTAAAGGTGTAATGTGATCGAGCTTGAAAGAGCAACGGCACACTGATCCCGACAAAAGTCGCTTTGCGAGGGACGCGTTAGAATCTGTGTGTCGTCTCTTGGAGGATATTCGAAAGCGATTATAATATACGAGCATTCTCATCGAGGAGAAGTCGTACTTCTATTTATAAACTCTACTGAAATCACAGACACACTTAACGAGATATTATTAATCATATTTCTCTCATTATAAAAGGAGAGCCTATCAGCCGTGACTGTGCGACGCGTGTAAGTGCTCACATGGATTTTGCTAAACCGTCACGATGAAACACATCAATTTCCCATCGGCTAATTTGAATATGAAAGCTTCCATGCGTTAGCACGGGCGCGTGGTCGATAATTTATAATATTACGAATTATGGAATGTGTAACTGTATGTGTTTGTGTAGGAAATCGGTTGTGAGTCACGGCGAACTCTCTTTTAACGATATAAAAACTGATATCGTTCCCGGCACGTCGATACCTCTCGCGAGTAATTTCAAGCAACACATCATTTCGTGCAGCTTTTCCTCATCGATATATTGCACGTTTACGCACGCCTCTTCTGATTTCTCAGATCTTTCGACCAAGTTCAGTCGGGTTATCGGAGAGATTAAGCTTTTGGGTCACTTTGCCATTTCGTATCACATTCCGTCTGCGATAGCCCACTGCTTTCGCGTCTTTTAAGTATGTGTACAAAGTACGACTAGAAAGTTTGAATTTATTTTTTTCTTGGTGCACCAGCGACATGCAACATATTCAAATAATTGTGATATCTGTAAATACGAATGAAAAATAGACTCTTGGGAGAATGTTAAGTAATACACCGCGAAAATTCTCTCTTTCTCTCTTGTTTCTTTTTCTTTCTTTTTGTGTCATAAAATACTTTTCTTCTTTCTTGTAATAATGTTTTTAGAGGGTTGCCCTAGAGCGACAATAAACACACCTTTATCTATCTATCTATCTTTATTTCTGTCAGAGATACACACGTAGAAGTAAATCACGCCCAATGCGTTAAAAACACTCGAGAAGGAGCAGACGAACGAAGAAAGAGAGGATGCTCGTCGGGAAAGACGCCCGGCTCCCAAAAAAAAATGCCGCCCGTCGGCCGCAATCTGCGAGATACATTTTCGTCTGATGATCGCCGCTCGCACACGTAGAGAATCCCATTTTGCACGGTGCACCTGCTGAGTGCCAACGCGAGGCACGACAAAGAACATGTGTCGGGGTCCGATTGTGATAACCGGAATAACTTCTTTTGTATCCCAAGGCCGCTGGTACTTCGCCGCGCGACCTTTGACATCGCGCGCGCTCGATCAGCGACACCTCCCACGGTACTCTCCTGATCCTCCTCTTTCACCAGCTTCACCTTGATGCACCAGCGGTGTCCACCGAGCGAGAAAGTGCCGCCTGTCACTTGGTGACGCTTCACGTTCCGGCCGGGGCAATCTGTTTCCGCTTTAACGGCTGCGGCGGTATCTTTACCCGGTCGTTGTAACGAAGGACGTTCGTTGGTCTCTTTGAGATATTGTCCGATAAAAATATACGCTCGATAAAAATCGCGTGGGCGTGTTATATCGTTTTACAATGATCTGTTCGACGGGAATGTACAGTCATTAACATTCTCTAGCGGGTAACGGGAAGAGCTTGGCGCGGAAGTGTCTCCCTCCGCCATCCCGGAGATAACTAGAAAACAAACGGTAGAAGGCAAACAAGGTGATTCTTTATCCGGCTCGCACCCTCTGCATTAAATCATAATGTAAACATACGCTCATGAGAACCTTTTAGCCCTCCAACTGCTTCAGCCCTTCTTGATTACCGGAAAGACCCGCAGCCGCTAATCGCAGTAGCTTTAGAAATACGTGGGTTCTCGTAATAATTTTTATAACTTCGCGGAAGTTTCACGGCGGTATGATAAACACGTTGAGTGCCACGTCATTCACATCTGGATGACACGAATTTCCGCAGGGGCTGCGTCACCCGTTTACAGGTGACAGTTATATTTGGATGATATGGCAGGAGAATATATACTACATTAAAGTAAATGATGCTTGTTCAAGTATTTTATAATTTTATATGTTTGTATGTTTCAAAAGAACATCAATACTTACATGGAAAAAAGTTGTTTTCACACAAGTGTTAACATCTTTTTGAAGCATCTTATACATCCGCAAACTTATCATAAGCTCTTCATAAACATTAAATTTATTCCAAATATATTCTGAATCTTAGTAAGCTTAGTATTTTCAAGAATATTATAAATCAAGAATATTGAAATAAAAATTCGATTTGTGTACTACATAAAGTCGAACTAATCTTTTTCTCGATAAAGTTTTATAATATTCTTGTAAAGAGAATAAATTTTTCTTTTTAGTATATGAGCTTTTCAAAAATTTGTCATAAGTATATTTTAAGACTATTATAAAAAAAAATATCTTTTGTTGAAGATAACTATTATTAAAAAAAAAAAAAAAAAAAAGGAAAGCAGACTTGAATAATCGTTTTTCTTAGCAGCAAAATGATATTTCTTTCTGTGCAGGTATGATTCCACTATTTTATTAATTATCACTATTTTACTATTTCTATTAAATATGTATATAAGAATATCTTATAGAAGCGATAAGGTATCATTAACATAACGCATCAAGAATTCGGATCTACTGGGTGCAATAAAACATCGTTAGCATAACACACCATGAATTCAACGTGGCACTCGACGTGTTAATAGACGCAATTACATGGAACGACGTTGTTATAAGACGTTGTTATCCCGGATCTTTCACGATGATATATAGTGTCTTACGCCTAAGTCTACAGCCACTGATGATAAAAAGTAGGCAATCGGCACAATCGAGAATACGGTGCACAATATAATACGGTTGCTCCCCTCGACGGAATCAGGTTGCACCTGAGTCGCGGACGGCTATACGTGTCGGGGATTTGCATTTCATTTTCGCGGGTGATTACGCGCGACAGTAGTGGCCTCAAGCGTCCCACTAAATTAGCAGCGCCGGCTACTTTGTTACGCTAATACTATATGGGTATCGTGTTTCTATTTCGAGATCGCAATCTCAAATTTCTCTCGAGATCGAAAATCGCCCCGGATGATGCTCGGGATGAGTAACTCATAAAGCGTGAGTACTTTTCGGCAATTTTGTGTATTATTTTATTGACTCATTATCAAACGCAGTGCACTTGCACCGTATACTGCATTTATATAATCCTTTGGCTTGGATACGTAGTTTACATAGAGACTAATACCATTTTCTGCTGCACCTAGACCGGGGATATGTTGAATGTGCAGGCACAAGGTACGGCATATAGTGAACATTAAGACGGGACATTAAACATGATGAATGCGCGCGGCAAGCTCGATGCACGTACAGTTTGATACAAAGTTACATGAAACGCGTTCTTCTCGCCGTTGTTCGTTGGCTTCGCCTGGCAAAAGTGAGGTAAAGGGTATTTCAGATGCACGACGTTGGTCTCCGTGTAACGATCATATCGCGGTCAGGACTTTGTCCCACTTATAAATACAATACGAAATTAAGAAACGTATCGACCTTGATAAATGATTGGTACAGCGTGTGACAATTTTCTGTCAGTATTAAAGTAATGCTCTCGACACACGACTGACGCGGGACGCGTCTGTCTATACGCGAGTGTTCCTGGTAAATCACGATTAACACATTGCCGTTTTCGGGCCTATCAAAAGAGAAAAATGTTGAATTTTCGTAGAACGAATGTTTTCTAATAATCATTTTAAGTACAAATCGGTGAATATGCCTGCTTTCCTTTTCTTTCTTTTCTTTTATCTGGATAGGAAGATCTCGCGATGGAAATTGCACTCGCTGCGACGAGTTAGATATCTCGAAGACGTACGTCCGCGAAGTCGACGAACGGGACGACGACCCGATCGCCAATGGCGTCAGAATGATATTCACGAAGCGCGATCTTTATCGGACCTCGTCGTCCTTCGTTCGTGCTTCCGTTATTTGAGACTCGAGAGTCAAAAGATCGAAAGGTCGGAACCCTCTTCCCGAATCCCGCCGCGACTTTACGTCCGTTTTAACATCCGCGTTTCAACTTCACATATTAATAGAAAATAGTGCTAACATCATGCCCGCTATCAATATCGCCGCGGAGACCAGTGTGGACGCGCTCGAGAAGTCGAGTTTCTTCTTTAGGTCTTCAGGCACGTCCAAGTAGATCTTTTCGACGCCCACGTCCTTGATCAGCTTCGAAAGCTGCGCGGCGTCGACGTGGTCGCCCTCCGACGACCAGATGGTCAATGTCACGTTGTCGGATGAGGTGTTGTTTAGCAATGCCTTCACGGTCTCGATATCGTTCGCCGCGAGACCGGCTCGTATAGGATAAGTTACCGACTGTTTGATCTGGTTCTCTGCCAGCGTGTCTGTCATATTTTTTATCTGCTCCGGTGTGTATCGACCCTCGATGATGTTGTACTCCTTTCCGTACCTGAAATATTGACGCACATTTCAGTTTCAGTGTTTCTCGGACCGGAGATATGAATTAACCAAAACTCTTTGTCGGATAAACAACATGTAAACACATTCAATAACAAAGAACATTACTCATACATTTATGTAGCCGTCGAACGACTCGACTAAACTTTCACGGATATTTATAGGTGTTTTATAGACACTCGGCTTGGCTATTGTAACTAGCATTCAGAAAAATATTATTTCATTATTAGCGGAATCCTCTTAACATGTTATTAAAGATTTTAAAATAATGTTTCTTACTTTGTAAAAATTCATCCTCTTAAAATCAAAAGAAAAATATTCACTCAAAAAACATTAAAAAAAGAAGAACTCTATTTGCAAAGTGCTATTTCCTATAATCCTACATTCTAAACGAAAAGCTTTTTTACCAAAAGAATATTCCCCTTTTAACGAAGTGAACTATTAATCGAAACTCTACTAGATATTATTTGCTTATTTCTAGATAACTCTAGATACTTATATTTGTAGATATTACTAGATATTATTTATCACGTATTCTTTTTTTCTTTTATGTGAGTCAAGAGGAATATATTTACTTAAGACATTTTAACTTGCTTTAACTTGTTTTAACTGTACTTGAGATATTTTTCTTTTAGAAGAATCTTCTTAAGGTCATGTATAAGAGAATTCCGCTAAATATAAGTTTCACAACTTATCCAATAACAGAATATATTTCTTGAAGATCATTAAAAAAATATCTCTTCTATTGAACTATTTGCTCACCTGATTGTACGTATTATAATTTTATATTTACAAGCATAAGCTCGAAAATCGTACATGTAACTGTAGTTACAATGGCCAAGTATATATAAAGCCGTATATGTGATTTTTCTCAACCGTCTTTAATCATATATCTTATTGTTTCTTTTGGTTTATTGGTTCTTGAGACATCGTGTTTTCCTGTAATATCGACGTTCATTGGATCGTCAAGTTGACCACCTCTTCAGGGATTTTATATTTATAACCACTTCTTTTTTATAAGAGGTCGTGCCATGGTCATCGTATATATTTCTTTGCCTATACGGTTAATTAATTGCAAGGTTGTACATTAGAACCCGCTACCGCGCTGTTCAATATTTACCTGGTCGTCCAGCCAACGGAGAGAGTGCATTCTGGAATGGTTTCCACGGCGCCTTTGAGGAAATCTTTCGCGTTAACCGGAGTAGCCGTGGCGTTCACCGGTCCGGGTAGGATATCCGCGTTGATGAAGACCGGGAACTTGAACTGGATAAACGAACATTTTATATTCTTTCTGCTTACTTTACGCTTCAATATTCTTAAGTAGCGTTTATATATACGCACGTTCTCTCGTAGCTTGGTGAGAATCGGTTTGCTCTTCTCGAACGCCTGAATGGTCTTGAAGTCCAGCTTGATTCCCTTTTTGATGCCAGTTTTGTGGATGGTGGTGTTGAGGAAGTCCTCGAGCGACAGATCGCTCAGGTTCTCTGGTGGATGCGCCATTATCGGGATCTCAGCGATGCTGCTGTTGTCGGTTTCGTTAAGCTTGCCCAGCACGACGTCGGCCTCCAGCATCATGATGTCGTCTTTAAAAAGGAAAGTCGGTTGTCCGCTGGATCCGTGTGTCGGTGTGTACGTGTGAGGCGACTGTGGTTGAGACGACCGGCTGGGCGGAGGGGGGGTTCCGGTATGTGCATACACGTGCAGGGAATATCGATCACGCCTGGAAGACTGCGCCGGACCCACACATCCGCCGGAGTTGACGTTCAAATGACCGAAAATTCCGGCTCTTTTGATAAACGGAAGGCTGCAAGCGCCAGGTCGCTTAAGAAAGAGACGCGGTATGAAGGAGCAAGTGCGCGTAAACGTTCGCGGCGGCTTGAAAGAGCAGCGACATTTTTTTCCCGCGGATATCAAAGCGACCAGCGCGCTTTGAACGGCGGGATTTGCGGGGTATTGCGAGGGAAGATGAATATTCCTGCGACGCAAGGATCGCGGGGTATTTATTTGAGGTGTCGCTGATAGACGCGAACGTGTTCACTCGCGAGATGCGGTGACTGAAGGTCGGAGATCGGAAGTTCGACCTTCGACAGCGGCTCCGGTGACGGCGAAGATGGCATCTCGCTACCTTGGCAGCTCGTTGAAATTCAAGAGAGGCGCGAGTGTACTTTCCGAAAACTCTGCATCGGACGTGACTGCGTACAAATGACTTATCTACGAGAGCCCGACCGTACAAAGGTGGAAAACTTAAATACGAGAGAGGTCGGAAATCTTCCGGGCGCGAAGTTCACAGAAAGTTTCCAGCCAACTTCGGAATCGGCATCCAGCCGGAATCGAGATATACGCGGCGTAACGTATATCAGAGGGGCTGGGGAGGGGGGAGGGCGGGGTGTCGGGCTGGTAATGCGAAACAAATCGATGTAACTCGTATTTTACGTAGGACCGACCAGGCTTTTGTGCGAAGTGCGTGAGAGAAGTCTCGGGAAGCAGACGCTCCATAAGGCTTTCTCCCGCGCTGTCGATATTTCTGGAAGCGCACTTTTCAAGGACGCGCCACCATTATTTAAAGCGCGCCGATGTAAAAATACACGTCATCATGCGGGTTGCACACAAAGGCGCGCCACACAGCTGGATAATATAGGATAGTCATGAAAGCGACAAACGCAAAAGCACCGACATTGAAGGCTTGCGTCGCGTCGCATCGCGTGTAACGAAATGTCATGAAGTTCATTAACTAGTAATGCGTTGACGGTCGATAAAAGTCACGAACTTGCAAATGATTCAAGTATCATCTGAAACGCGACGTTTTCGCCGAGGCTATAGCCCGGGCTTTCCGACGGCTTTACATCGCAATGTTAAATATTTACAGGTTGATTGTTGTCTGTTCACGAGCAAAATGGTTTTAAAGTACCGTGTAACTCGAGGAAAACTAATATTACTTTTGTATTATTGCGATGTACGTATACAGGGTGTCCTACAACTGGTCTAACGCCCAGGGGTAGGTAGGGGGTGAAATTTTGAACTGAAAGTTCCTCTTCCAATTTTCCAATTTATATTTTCCGACAATTAATGAGATATTAATTAATTAAGTCTGCAAATCCCTTAGCGCCCTGAGTGAGCGCTCAGGGACGTAAGATGCTGTGGGTTCCTCAGGGGCCTTGCTTGTCCGTTTTTTCCCTGAGCGCTCACTCGGGACACTGAGGGATTAGCAGACTTATTTCATTAATATTTCATTAACTAATTGTCGGATTAAAACATGGAAGAGAAATTTTCAATTCCAAATTGCACTCCCTACCTACTCCTAACGGATGTTCAGTTGTGGGGCACCCTGTATATATGACACATTTACGGATATATATGATAAAGGGAACGACAGCGTTTGTCACATATATCCGTCATATCTGTATATTTCTTTTGCATTTACGTAAGGTATCGCGCGACACGGACTCTTACTCGTCAAAATGGATCATTTAGAGTGTCTTATTACGCAACTGTCATTTGCAAGTGCTCTTAGCAAACTTATTGGCGTAGTGGTGTTAATGCCAACGCGAATAAAAATGTGTACTCTTAACTTTAGATTACCGATGCTAGTAGTCCGTTATTGTTCATGTGTAATAGGCTGCTTTACTTGGTTTCTCATTTGTAGTCTGCCTTTTAAACTCCCGTGTACAATTATATTTTTTTTGGAACATACAGTACAATAGATCTGTCAGATCCAGGCAATTTCAAAATATAATTTTTTTGAAAATCGATATTTCTGGGCACATTCTTTTTTTCCAGAGATATAGAAAAGACTCAGCTATAAAACGGAGTAAAGCAATAAAATCACAAGATCTGCAAACAGATTTGCGCAATTTTGAAATTAATGGGAAGATTGTTTAAGTTGGTGAGCGATCAAATATTCGTTTAGATCTCACAGATTCAGCGCGGGGGATTAACATTTTTAATAATTTTTTGTTACATAAGGGGAATGTATAAAATAATACCAATTACAAACATCGCTTATATTTCTCATATGGAACCTCCTCTCAATTAATTTCCCAATTAACTCCCTTAATTGGGTTTTTCTTTGTAACCTACCTTAAACCTTCACAGTCATATTTTTGGGACATACAGTACGATATGCGTTTGTCAGACTCGGACAAATTTGAACTACTATAATGAAGTCAATATTTCTGGACATATCTTTTTCTCAGAGATAGAAAATTCAGCTACAAGATATCACAAGTATAGGTCTAAATAACTAACATTGGTAATCTAAAATTAACAAGTAGCAAACACGTCTAAAACCTTGATTCGAAAGATATCCCGAAGGCTATAAATTCGCACAGACGTACAACTTTCGATCGCACCAACTACTCGAAATTTAACTCGCTTCACTTTAATAATAAAAGAATCCCAAGTTTCCCTTCGTCTACAAATAATACGCGGATCCACGGTCGCGCGTATTAAAGCCCGCGTGTACCACTAGCGAAGCTCGAGCCTGACGTTTCCGACGATAAGTACCGGCTAGATGTAAGATTTAAGCACACGAGGCTAATCGGAACGCCGCAGAGAGGTCGTCCGTCGTTCCTTCATTTCGAGTGCAATAAACGTAGAACGAAGGGAACGTCAATTACGGCACGATCGACTTACTTGACGAGAGTGCCCTATCCAATTCCGCTTTGCTGTTGACGGCGTGCGCCCAGACGATCTTGGTGAGATTGCCTTTGACTTCGGGGAAGAAGTTCTTCGGTGAGACGACGTTGCACATGACGGCTTCTGAAACACGGCAAACACCCAGGCTGTGTAGTACCGCACCGTGGCCTTTCGCGTTTCGCGCGCGAGAGTCCGCCCGGACTTGACCTTCCCCATCAGTATTCTCGAGACTCCGCGACCCCTGACCCAATATTCGCGACGGGCTCGCTCCATGATTGAGCGGACCGTGAATTCCTCGTGGCGTGGTGGCGGCGGCGGCGACGCGGCCGGCTGCTCCCGGAGCCGACCGAGATATTCGTTGCCCTGCCATTGTGCGCCGTTCGATCGATAATCACGTTCATTTGTCACTCGCTCGTTACGAACGGCTGCCACTCGGTCGTTTCAGCTGCGATCGCGGTCGGCGAACCGTCGCGAGGGTCATCGCCGTAGATACACAGTTTCTCGCAACGGCGGCATGATTTTCTTTTTTTTCCCGTCGATTTGCACCGCCGGCAACCGATATAAATGAATCACGTATGTACTGAGCGGCGTGACGCGAGCGCGTATGACGCTTCGGGGACACGGTGGAATGAATTAATAAAGGGATCGCGCTGTGGAATGTTCCACGACGCAGCGCAGGGCTCTCTTTCTCCGTGGGCTAGACCATTTCCGGCACAAGTCCCGGGCCATGTGGCGAGCAAATTTCACGCGACGAATGACCCCTTCGAGCAGATTGCAAGGGCGATTGCCGCCCCTCCCCCTTCTCGTCGAAGATCTGGTCTTTTTATGAATGACACTGCGGGTCGAAACCCGTTAGAAAATCGGCTGTGATGTTTGAAATTACATTTGATCATGGCAATAGATCTTCCGTGAACAAATATCGAGTTACCCCAAAGTTTCTTTTTAACAACTCTCTCTCTCTCTCTCTCTCTCTCCCTCCTTCTCCCTCTCTCTCTTCCCTCTCTTTTATTCGCGGAAGAGGAAATGGCAGCATGTCCCTGAACACGATTAGCGATGCGGGCGTGTCTCGCGCTGATATCGATTCTAATAAGAAAGTTCCGGTTAATCAGCTTGTAAGCCGAAGGCGACGTTGGTTCCTCGTTCTTTTACTCCACCAGTTCACAACTGGAGCAACAAAAACTTCGTGGGGAACCTTTTCCCTGCGTGAACCGCGAGCTCTACCTTAAATTACCGCGCTCGTTAACTTGCCTGGAATTTATCGCACGGCGTCTATTTTCTGGGAAACTTTTTTGAAAAGCCTCTCCTTGCGCGAAGAATCGATAACGGCCGCGCCGATGATTCCAACTGACCTGTTTCCGGTCCAGCGATCACGAGGTGAACCCGGATTCGCGCTGTCCAATGGAGAGATGCTGAGCCGACTTTTTTTTTAAGCTCTAATAACAGCCTTCTACATGCGGGCGCTTCCGCTGCAGCCTGACTTATGGTTAATAACTATCGCTGTCTGAAAATTTTGATATTCGTACGTTATGTGCATATCTCGGTGGAAAATTTAGAGAAAGCTCACGATGCAGTGAGTATGAAGAAAATATTGTAGTAAAAATCACTTCAAAACAATGTTTTTTTTATAATATGTTTTGCAATGCTGGACCACACTTATTGTGATGTGAATTATTACAGAACAATTATTATAAAAATGGTAAATTAAACAAGTTACTGTGAATTAAAGTAAATTTGTAAGAAAATGAGATTGATAAAGTAATGCATACAATTCAGGTTGTACAGCCGGTGTTTGTAATTCGCAGAGATATGACGATAGTTCAACCGCGTTTCAATTATTGTCCTGAGTTTTAGTAAACCAAAACGCACATGGGATTTTCTGTATTCGAGACCTCCACACTTTTGCTTCTCGTAGAGATAGAAAACTACGTAGACAATATTTCGAAATTGTTGCATGTATTATTTACATAACGCGAAAGCTAAAATTTGACTTTGCGAAAAAAGCGAATATACGACATAAGATATCTAGCGATCCGGGGCTTGAAGTGAGGAAGTTAGGAAGCGATTAGGACATTTTACTCTTTCACAAATTTTCGTAAATATTTTCGATAGACATAGAAACACAATGGACTCTGCGTGCCAGAGACGGATTTTAAACTGAAAAACCAATTAGGATATCGCTCTAGGTTTATCTACTCTAGAAGAAGATAAAACTAACGGTAAATTTGAGCGTAAGCAAAAAAACTATATATATATTATAAATATACAGGGTGTCTCTCACCTAACTTGAGTATCTTAAATATCTCGCTTATTTTTTGTGATAGGAGGATGCCAAAGGAAGACATTATTTAAAACAACAAATTTTTCTCAAGGTCATATTTTTTAGGATTTTAAGGTCATTGTCATTTTTTATATGAGACTACATATTTTTATCATCGCGATATGATAGCCAAGATCAAGACTTTGAGAAAAATTTCTTGTTTTTTACAGTATTTCGTCTCTTCGAATTGAATAATGTCCCCTTTTGGCATCCTCCTATCATCAAAAATAAGCAAGATATTTAAGATACTTAAATTAGGTGGAACACTGTATATATTATCACTAAAATTCAGTCACTTAGTTGCTATAATAGCCTTTTACATGCGGGCGCTTCCGCTGCAGCCTGGCTTATGATTAATAACTATTCTTATCTGAAAATTTTGATATTTTGTTATTATATATTATTACTAAAATTCAGTCACTTAGTTGCTTAGTTTTATATATATATATATATATACACA